AAAGTCTGTATCCAGACAAGATAAAAAGAGACTTACAGGATTTATCGGTTATTTCTAAATCCAAGAAGCCCTGACATCCATCTCCGCCCCTCAGGTTTACAACAAATGCACCCAGGGACACGCTGGCAAGTTTTATTCATCTCACTTACAAGACAATGTAGACATTTTACTGCAGAAACATTAATGTGTCTTGTTATAGGTGAAGTTCTAAATATAGAGACTTTCTAACATTTTATGCACTAATCACATTACTCTTTAAAAATAAAAACCTGAGTTAAAGAACAGTATCTTTCTAACTATTTGAGGTCCCATGGACCTGAAGTAATTAGTAGTGAAAGGATGCTCTACAAATCACAGCCAGAGAGAGCTAGGCATACATGTGCTGTGCATTGAAAGCCAAGCTTAAAATGTTAGAAATTTGACCTCGGCCTTTAAAACAGCAGTTCTCAACCTGTGGGTCCCGACCCCCATGGAGGGTCGAATGGCACTTTCACAGGGGCTGAATATCAGATATTCTGCACATCAGATACTTACATTATGATTTACAAGAGTAGCAAAATTATAGTTATGAAGTAGTAATGAAAATAATTTTGTGATGATGGTTAACCATAACATGAGGAAGTATATTAAAGGGTCGCAACATTAGGAAAGTTGAGAACCACTGCTCTAATGAATCATTATAGACTTTAAAAATAATTTTATTTTAAATGAAATATAATGATATCATTTCCTCCCTCTTCCTTTCCACCCTCCACTTTCTCACATGTACCCCCCCCCATTTGATCTCAAATTCATGGTCTCTTTCTTTTAAGAAACTGTTATTGTTATACAGAGAGAGAGAGAGCCCTAAATCCATAAACATGACATGTTCAGTCCATTTAGTGTCATTTTTATATACAGGTTTTTGAAAAAGCCAGTGAAATAATATTTTTAAATCGGTTTGTATTTCTGAGCATGAAATTCTTCCCCCAAACAATTACGATTGTGATGCTCTCCTTTGAGGAAGAAAGTGATGTCAGATGAGCTGCTTTTGAAAGGAGACATTTGCATCTATCATTTCTTTCCTGGGAAAGGTGTGTGGGAGAAATAGGGTGAGAGAAAGCAATTTCAGCCTGCATTTGCAGTTGCTGAGAGTCATACCACATAAATACGGCCAGACTTTGTTGTCCCCAGATGACTTCTCTTTGAAAACGAAGGAATAGATTCTTGAAAGGAAAAGGAGCCAGGCGAAAAAGGAACCATCATTCGAGTTTTGTTCACTTTCTTTTACTGACGACAGTGGAAGGCAAGATCAAGGCAGTTTCATTCTGACAACGCGAAGAATGTTAGCTGAGCAGCGATGGTGTGACTTTGTGTGTGGTGGGTGTTCACTCTAAGTCTGTGCACACTAGTTTTGGAAAGAGGCAGCAGGCTGGACCCATGTCAGTGTTCCTCTGTTAGATTGTCTGCTTGGTGTATGCAATTTCCATTTTCCCCGTGTGTGTAATAATCAGTATTGGTTCTCAGGAATAAAAGTACATCTCATTTTCAATTTTAAAAATAGTAGTTGGGAGGCTGAAGCAGAGGCAGGCATGCATAATTAAGCCATACATTGGTACATTTTTTTTCATACATTTCATATAGCCACCTTAGTGACATTCTTAGCTTTGATTCCTAGATGATTCCAATACTGCAATGTCTCTTTGGAGATTGAGAAAGTGCACCCAAATCATAGAGTGTGCTTTTCTGAAAACTTCTATATTTGGCTTCAGAATAATCAAGTAGTAATTGCACATTTACAAACATTTCCTGGGTCTCACAAGAGACCATGGATGAAGGACTTTGATTGGTTCACTGGATGAAGTATTTTTGGATGGGTTTGAGAGTAATACCTCGAGAATTAACTTCTGACTGCCATTTCACTTTCTTTTTCAGTACCTGGGGAATAAACCCAGGACCTTACAGGCTAGGCAAACACATTGCACATGACCTACACTCTAGTCTGACAGCGTTAAAGTATTCATGAACACAAACACAATGGTGCTGCTTCTTAATGAACTATTTCTTTCCTATTAATTTTGATGTTAGAGAAGTACTTGTTAAGAATTAGTGATAGAATTGAGTCTCTTAAGCATTCTATAGGTACCATACTTCATGTTTTAGATATATTAGCACAGCTAAACATGCTGTGATGTACTTTTGTTCCTATTTGATATAAAAAAAAAAAAAACCAGCAACTGAGGGCTGTAAAGGTGACTTGATTGGCCATTGACTCATCATGCCAAGCCCTGAGGTCCAAGCCCAGAGCACATGTTCTGAACAGGAATACTTGAAAGCTTCCCATTCGTCAACAACAAGTACTAAGTAGTTTCAGAGAAACACCCACTAGTATACTTTCATGTATTCAATTCAATTTCACTATTTCTCCAGGTGTACATATACTCGGTGCACACTTGAAATCTTGGTACAGGCTGTTTATTCACTTTCTTCACTGGTGCTTCGACCATGGAATCTGTTAAGATTAACCAGTGGCAGAGGAGTCATCTTGGTACCTCCATGCTGGTAAGCCAGGAAGGAGGCCTACTGTTGATCGGCCAGGTAAAAACTTAAGTTTGAAAACTAAGAAACAAGAGCACATTCATCCACCATGGGCTCAGACCACCTCCAAGGCAGAAAGGGCTTCCATTTCCCAGCTGTAGCTGTGAGTGATTGATCAGGCCTGCTGTCGAACAATGGGGAAAATACACTAAAAGAGCAATAAATTTGAAACACAAGAATTCCCAAGTCATATCAAATTCTGACTCTAAATAACAATAATAATAAAAAAACTTTTAAAAATAGACTAGTCATTGGTAAGCAACTCTTTGGAAAAGAGAAAGAAGAAACTGAACTCTGTCTCTCCTTCTGTTTTTGAGGAGGGGTGTCACTCTGTTACCTAGACTTGTTGAGGACTTGCTATATTGATCACACTGGGCTAAAGCTCATGGTGATCCTCCTAGAGCCAATAGGAATCGATTATGTTGTCCCCCCACCCACACACACACAACAACCTGCATACCAAGTTCTTAGCTTCATTTTGTGAAAGAGTGTAACAAAGCACAAAGAAGTTAGGAAACTTACTCACAAGCGCCCAAATCCCACTGATGCTTATTGAGCATCTGCTCTCTGGCAGGCATTATGCTGTGGTATTCCGTCTTGACTGACTCCGCTAGCAATTCTGCTAAGTATTCATTAATACCCACTGCAATGCACAACATAAAAAAACCTGGAATCTGATGTCTAAGTGTCAGAGCTGAGGAACAAACCCAGGTCCAATTTGGAAGCACAAGCTTCACCCATAGCTCCAGCAAGAAAGCGGACGTGGTTCAAAGGGGAACACAGATACCTAAGTGAAAAGAGCATGTGCATCCCAACTGATTATTGGTACAAACCAGAGATGCTGAAGATGGCTTCCTAATGCTCCCTATTAGAAGCATTATCCTAGTGACCTCTGTGTCACCTGATTCTGTGGTAATAAGTGTGCACCTGCGTGAGACTACAGAAACCAGATCTTTCTTGCTCTCCCATTTTTCTTCTATGATAATGAACCTATCAAGCCACAATGGAGCAGCTGCAGTGTCTGGAAGCACTAAACCCTTCAGACTCATGCTGTAGACACTTCTCCACCGTCTCCAACTGTTGGTCTTCCTGACCTCTGTGTTGGATGAGCCTATTGCGATCAATCCAACTGAGTCTATTAAATGGGTAACAGAACTTATTAAGATATAAATTGAGGAAATACACTCACGATCGCAGAACAGAGTAGACAGCAGAAGTCATCCTCTGATCTGACTGGGAGCGAATCCACCTCACAGGCAGGAGCAGGGAGAAAAGGGGCATGTGACCCTTCTTCAACTCCTTGTAAGAGGTCATACTACAGCACGAAGCACCGCCTCCTTTGAGCCTATAGCCCAAGGTCATGGGCAGAGCAAATACCACTACTTGAGTCAATTTAAGGGCTTAAAGGGCTGCTCTTCCCCAAGCATGGGCTTCTCTTTGCTTCTTGGAAGACTCCCCTCATGTTGAGCATTACACTCGGAGAAATCTGGTAGGTGTGTCATGCCGTTGATTTTTCAGACAAGAACACATGACAAATGCTACCTTGGTGCATAACAAAAAATGTAGGTTTGTCATAAATGTGGTTAAGGATGCATTTTTACATTTTTATGTGTACTTGTGTGAGTGTGTATCTGTATGGATGTGCACGTGTGTGTTTTGTGTGTGTGTGTGTGTGTGTGTGTGTGTGTGTGTGTGTGTGTGTGTGTAGAGGTCAGAGGTCATCATTGATTGTCTTCCTTAGTAACTCTCCACTTTTTTTTTTTTTTTTGGTCTGAGTCAGGGACTGCCACTGTATCCAGGATTCTCTGTTTTGTTTAGTTTTGGCTGGCTGGGCAGAGAGCTCTGAGGATTCTCTATCACTGCCTCCCCACTTCCGGGATTGGCATTTGCTTTTTATACGAGTGACAGGGATATGAAATCAAGACCTGATACTTGCAAGGCAAACACCTCATCAATTGGGCCACATCTCCTCAGCTTCTCACTAATGACCTCTTTCAGATAAACCATTTTGATTGCTTTTGTATCTAGTTGAAATGTGAGATTCTGATCAATTTGATTAAGGCCTTATCTTCTTATGAGGTGTATGCTTAACTCAACCTTGAAAGAAAACTAACTGTACAATCACCCTGCTGTTCCAGACCAGACTTAAATTTCCTTCAGAAAATATTTATTGAGTATTCAGTATATTCTGAGAAGCCCCATGTGTGTGGAAACAAGTCTATTGGTAGCATTTTAAGATGACCAAACCTCAGATTTTCCATGAAAGAGATAACAATTTTGTATGTACTTGGGGTTGTCATGCATGTGTGTATGTTCATTTGAGGTAAGGACATGCACCTAAAACTATATCCAACAATACAAGTGGTGTTGATTGTAATGACTCTCAGATTTTCCCAGGTTCACCCCTCTTTAGGAACTTCAGAACCAAGTCTTTCTCTCTTTATTTATCTGTCATAGTTGCAAATGTACAATAATTTGAAAGATTATTTAGATTGACATCCAAATAGTACTTTGACTCCTTGATCATGAGATAGCCCCACAAAAAAAGACATCAGGGGTTATTGAGTGACAGTTGTGTACTGAGAAATATGTAGAGTTTATTCCTCAGAGAGGAGCATGCAACCCATACAGGGGAGGTTTCTGGAGCAGGGAGTTGATGCTGGGCTAGTTTTCAAAGTTGCATATGCATTCACTCTAAGAACCAAGGCAGAGAGAGTATTTTAGGCAAGTAGAATATCTTGTGCAAACATATATCAACATGATCATGACACTGCATAAACCAGTGTGTAAGGTGAGTTAAGTTATTGTATAGACAAAAGAACAGAGCAAAATCACTGGAGGTCAAAGAAGATGTAATGAGAGGAAAAAGATTCCTGGATGCAATCTTGGAAAACAGTGATGTCTGTAGGATGTGTGGAGAGAACACCGATATTAACAGAGAAGCAAAAGGCAAACCAGGATGAACATTGCCTCTGAAGGGAAAGAGGAAGAGTTTACTGAAACTGGTTGGGACCAGTATCGTTTAGTATCTTGAAGATAAAATATGACACTTGAATCTGGAATAGCCTAGTTTATGGTGACTTTACGTAAAAGAACTTAGGTGGGATTGTGTGGGCAAAAGGCAGCATTCAACAAGTTACGGAAAGAACGGAAGTTGCTAATATAGAGAGAGTACATGTAGATCCCTCGCTAAGCTCTTTGCACACTTGAGGAAGGACAGAACGAAGAGAGAGGAATGCACAGTGGAGAAAGGGCCTTGGGATTTCCCCACACGAAGCTCTTTCCTACTGACTCAGCGTGACACTCCTGATTTTAACTTGTATTTTGCCCAAGGTGCATGGATATGTGCATCTGTGCATATATTGGTATAGAAAGCAACACTTTAAAAAGGGATAGAGTACTCATTCACTATATCACCACATCATCAACAAATCTTCAGCCTGAGTCAGATCAATGTCTGCTACCACAAAAGCCTGTGTATCTTCATGGGTGTAAGACAAAGGGGGTTAGATGGCTGTATCCTATGCACAGGGTGTGTCCAGGAAAGGGGTGGCAAGAAGTGGGGGTGGCACCAGTCAGGAAAAACAAAGGGGGGGCAGTTCTCAGGGGAGATATATCTTTATAAAGCTTTAACTATGCACCCAAACAACGTTTTAAGTTTTAGAAAAATGAAGCTAATTAATTTTAATAAAATAATTAAAAGCATCAAGCATGGGTTGTAGCTCATAAACAAACCTAACTAAGTTACAAGTGAATAGCACCCTCACGGAAGAAGAGGAACGAATTCAGAGTTTTTGTTTCAAAACTTGGGGAAATAACAGTTTGGTAGAGTTCTGCAACGCCAGTGACAGAAGCTCCTGTACACAACGGGACCCCAACTGTGAGTGTGTTTCTCCTCTGATTACTGGCTAGCGATTCTGTGGCTACTTTAGGAGAGCTGATTGGATCTTGCCTCGAATTGTGAGGAAAAAACCCATATCTGGAGTTCGTACATTTTATACAGATGCCAACAAACAAGGAAAGGCAGGTTACAAATCAGAAAATTTAAGTAAAGTGGTTCAAAGTCCTTATAATTCAGTTCAAAAATCAGAATTGTATGCTATTCTGTTGGTATTAATGGATTTTTCAGAACCTCTCAATATAGTAACTGACTCTCAGTATGCTGAAAGAGTAGTATTACATATTGAGACTGCAGAATTTATCCACGATGCTTCAGAATTAACTTCATTATTTATTCAATTACAAGATACAATCAGAAAAAGGAATCATCCTTTATATATAACTCACATCCTTTATATATAACTCACACACATAGGTGTGTGCTAAGATTGAAAAAAACAGAATGTAAACAATGAAAGGCAGGTTTTTGTGCTGTTAGAAAAAAAGAAGTTACACACCAGGCAAGGCAGATGACTAAATCGTAACCTGGGCTATTAGACAGGGATCCAGGTGTTGGACATCTTCATCTCTGTCTTCATGTGACATACCTTGGATATATACACCCATGTCTCTATTTGATAAGGAAAATGTAGAAATGCATGACGTATATGTTATATGGTGTTCACATAAGCATTGATTTCAAACTCTCTACTGAATACAGCAGCAGTTAATGGCCCAGTCCTCCCCCCAAACAACAATACAACACAACAAAACAGAAACAAACCCTCAGCATCCAAATTCAGACTCTTAGATATCATATCTGATACAAAGAACTAGGATTCCCGGGGAAAGTAGTTGATTCTAAGGCTGGGGCAGGATCCACAGAAGAAGATGACAAAAAGTAAATCTGGAGCATCCTTTGATGGCAGAAAATTAAGGAAGTGATTTAAAAACAGAAACTGCCTGAAGGCGACGGTATCCAACCAAAGCAGCCCCCAATACTAAACTACCTCAGCCACAGGACAATGACAGGGAGCCACAACCCACAGAAGAACCCTGCGTGAGACCACATGTATATAAATGATAAAGAAGTAAGTGGGGAGAGGGAGTAGTCTCTCAAAATGATTGCCAGTTTATTGAAGAAATCAAGGCATTTTGAACTCACTGTTAGGAACCCAGTACAGTGACAGCAGTCACAGACAGGACCTGGCCATAAATGTTGAAAGTGGCAGGTGAGAGTGGATGGAGGAACAGGACATGGGTATGGCATAATTTCTCAAGATAAAATTTAAAATAGACCTTTATAATATAAAAACCTAGCAGACACTACCGGGCAGCGTTAATGTCACTGATCGACAGTATGAATTCCCCTAATAGTGATGTATGGTTGAGGTTGGAGCAACACTGTCAATCTGTGGTGGTGGTCTTCCCAAACTGAGGCACTGTCAACTAAGTATCTGGAACTGCCAAGGTGTTTCACAAGGTAGTTGACCGATGTTTGTGGAGTATCAAGACAAGAAAGGGTCGAGGGTCTGTCACGAGATGGAAGGAGACTGAGGCTACTCGGGGATTAGCACAGGTCCCAGCTGAATCCTGAAATAGAAAGAATGGAGAGTAAGGGGAGACCCTGTGAAAGCTGACAAAGCTTGTAGTTTGTAGAGTTATCAGATGCCAGTGGAAATATTCTGAGTTTAGTGTTGGCAGCGTTGTTAAATAAGAGGTGAATATTAGCAGAAGTTGGATAAATTGCACATAAATGCTGCACTGTTTTAACTTTTCCACAGGTTAAAATTCATTCCAACAAAGCTAACTAGCTCCCGGGGACTGTTTTTGTCATGTCCGAATAAAGTGGCATGCTTGTCTATCATATTGGTTTGAAGCGACTTCTAAGACATTTGATACAGGCATAGTTTGCTGCCCTACAGTTGACAAAACAAACATACTGTTGTGTGCCATACTGATTTCAGCCTTTTAGCTCACATGCTTGCTTGATTTAATGAAAGGGAGAAATACTTTGCTATCTACTTAATAGTCATTTATATACTCAATAAAAATATGGGGATCTGACAAAGCCTTAGTGGATTGTTACTGATCTAATGTAGGGTTCCAAGAAGATAAACTCACTAGTTGCCAAGCATGGGCAGATTCCTGTGTTTAATATGAACCCAAATACCTTATATTAGCCACCATTTGAAAATGGCACTGTTCCCTCACACAATCATTAACTCATATAAACCTTAAGTAAATAACATTTTTGAAAAGTGAAAATTAGGTGTTCAAAAGTTCACTTATGTACCAATCTACTTAATTCTTATTAAGTACTACTAGGCCAGTCTGTGTACATTTCTAGTACTAGCATTAGAGATGCTGAGGCAGGAGGATTATAAGTTCTAAGCCATCCTAGTTTTTACAGCAAGATCTTGTCTCCCCAAAATAGTGCTAAATTATTTCATTATGAAACCATATTGCTAAGTTACATGTTAGGATTGGTCCCAGGTATCACTTTGATCAGAAAATAGGAAGCGTAGAAAACTGTAAAAGCCCCAATCAGAGACAGAAAATATATAACTTAATGTTTACTCATCAAGACAACTACATGCACTACATTCAAAATAAAATATCATTGCTACAAAAGTTCTGAGTTTGACTTAGAAATGTACAGAAAGAAAATTTAAAAGTTTTTATCCAAACCAGTCTATCACTCTCCTGGCCTCTACAGTTTTTATTTATTTTTTCTACATAAGAGCACCAGTAAAGTGAATTCTTCTGAAGTCCTGGACATGATACTTTAGGGAAGCTGAACTATGGTCACTGATGCCAAACACATGTGGAGGTGCTAGAAAACTCTGCTAGGTGTGGGAAAACATTTAAAAAGTGATCCAAAGAATAAAATTCTAGTGAGGGCCTCCCCTTGGGGCCCACTTTAATGAAACATGTGTAATTTAAAGTAAAGGTAAATCACGTTAAAATATGCTGTGCTATCCAGTTCAAAGGGACTTCTGGTGGTTTGATAACATGACAGTGTGAATGTAATCAGTTTCTTTTTTCTTTGAGATGAGTATACCTGGTCCTAAGAATCATGGTCATGGTAATGTAAAGATGAGAGCAGGCAATATGAATACTAATTGTGATGGCGTAGACTTTCCTGCCCTGTTTTTTTTCTTCTTTTTTTTTGGTTTTTCAAGACAGGGTTTCTCTGTGTAGCTTTGCGCCTTTCCTGGAACTCGCTTTGTAGACCAAGCTGGCCTCGAACTCACAGAGATCCACCTGGCTCTGCCTCCCAAGTGCTGGGATTAAAGGCGTGCGCCACCACCGCCTGGCCCCTGGTTTGTTTTTTTTTTTTTTTTTTTTTTAACGGGGTTGTGGGGGGTACAGGTTTAATGAGGGATCAGAAGATTCACACTTTAGTGCTTCCTGTTATCAGTAACAGAGCCACTACATTAGACCTAGAATCCAAAAAAGCTGACCGTGGTACCTCACCTTGCATACATAATTAGAATCTTCAAAAGCTTTCCTGTGCCTCAGCCCATTGAATCCTTGTGACAACCTTGCCAGGTAGGCAGAGAGGCTTAGTGTAAGCGTGAACACACGCTCAGGTGTGTTTTAAATTTACACACGGACTGCCTCACTTTGCTCAAGTTCCATTGAGAACCAATGTCTCATCCTTTTGATCCATTTGCTCCTTGTTGAGCAAGGCCACTTCTCTCAAAGTGAAGCAGAAAGCTCTGGGCTTTGGGTTCCAGAGCAGGAGGGCGCGACCGGAAAACTGGCTGTCTTCGGCTACAGCACCAAGGGCTATTTTTAGGTGTTTTCCTCTGGCTAATTGTCTCACCCTCCTTGGGGATTCTCCATGGGTAGAATCCCAGATGAGCCAATTTTCTTACTAATTCCCGCAGAGATGGGAAAGAGGAAGGCCATGGCTGTTTGTTGCCTTGGGGCCTCAGAACCTTCTTGGTGATGACCAGGAAGCGAGTTTAGCAAGATCTTCAAGGGTCTTGAAGTTCACAGAGCTCTCTGCTCAAGTTATGGACCGATGAGACTAAGACAGGACTTGGTGGGAGATTGGGGAGGGTCTTCTTTGAGCCTTGGAACCACCCTAAGGGCCTTGTCTGGAGGTGATTTCTGAAAGGAGCTGAGGGCATGGAGCCAAGAGTGACTGAGGGCTCAAGAGGCCCTTCCACATATCCTGGCTTTCTTCTACCACCATTGAAAGGAAAAGGAAAGTACCATGACAGTGTGTGAATGTAACCCCTCTGTTTCTTTTTTCTTTGAGATGAGTGTACCTGGTCCTAAGAATCACCAGCATGGTAGTGTAAACATGAGAGCAGGCCATCTGATTACTTGATTTCAACTTTTGGGAAACACGGGAAGACCAGCAGGGGTTAGTTAGCTTAGAGTAGGTAAAGAGAGAGGGAGTGATGACAGCCATTTAGTCTTCCTTCCTTCCTGGAAAAACAAGTCAAGTAGTGTTAGATGCCCTGGAGACAATGAACGGAAAGAGTTCAAGATGGTTTCTGACTCAGTGTCAGGGCCAAACTTCTAACAGGGTTTGTGCAATAAATTACCTGGGGAGCCACTGAACTTCTTATCACCTGGATTGTGCAGGAACTGGTATGTAAACTGCCATTCCCTGGGCTGTGAAAATGATCCAAAACTCTAAAGGAGGCAGCTAGAATGACAGCACTTATAACCAGAGCGTTCTTAAGCCACAGCAAGGGGTACACGAGACACTCAGTCATCAATGATGAATTATCAAAACCCTCAAGCACCAAGAAGTTAATGTGTTGAAGATCACACAGCAAAGAGGAATTTGAATTCAGGCTTTCTCTCTAGTGTCTGTGCTCTCAAAGATGTCTGTCCTTAAAGGTTCCTCTCTGCATAGGGATTTCATATAAGGGGACGCTCTGTCCCATGGACATCACTATTTGAGTTCTTCTCTTATCCCATTTCCAAAAGGACATTGATAATCTCTGGGAAGTGAGGGGCGAGACTCAAGCAAGCAAAGTAGCTGTTGTAAAGAAACGTGAGCCCTTTAACACCAAGCAGATCCTCCTAGGATAATCGAGCAGTCTGGCAGGGGCAGAGAGATACCAGAATACTCTCTCATCATAGTGAAGCGCTGGTGCTGCCTGATTCTGCTTCACCTGCCCCTTTCCCTTTCCAACTCTGGTGTTCCAGTCAGGCTGCTCTTCCAATTGCGCCCATGCTAAACATGTCCAGGAGCCTGGAAGGCCAGGGACAAAACTGTCAGAAGCTGCCAAACACCCCCCCCCCCCCCATTTCACACCCTCATCCCCATCCTGATTTATGGAGAGGCGCCCAAGGTGGCAAAAGACTTACCCAAGGTCACAGCCCTATCCAGGAAATCCAGGAGTCCGGGTCCCCACATCAGCACCCAGAGACCGCCTGGGCTCACTTTCTCACCGCCCGCGCCCTGAAGCTCTCTCCATGCCACACCCCGCTTGCTTCCCTGTCCCCCGCCCCCCAGTCCCCCGAGTCGCTTCTGACGCTCGGCGGCCTCCCGGGTGCAGTCCTTCCTGCGGGCGTTCCCTTCCGCCGGATTCCCACGCCGCGCGCCACGCCCCCAGCCACCCGCCGCGGGGACCCCGAGGCAGCCGGAGCCCCGGGTCGCCGGACCCGAAGGAGGCGCGACCCGCCGTGACGTCCTCCGCGCCGCGGCGGCGCCCGCACTCCCGCCTGCAGTGGGGCCGCCCTCCCGAAAGTCCCAAAGTGTCGCGCGGAGCCCGCTGAGGCGTGGCCGAGCCTGGGGGGCCCCCCGGGGAGGGCCGCCCCCGGCGGAGCCCCAGCCCGGCGAACGAGTTGCGCGGCTCCGGGACGTACCATGGGCTCGGGACCCCCGGCGCCCCGCGCAGGCCACCGCCCGATCGCAGGAGTAGCCGAGGTGGGCGGGGAGCCGGCCGACCCCGCGCGCGCGCCTCTCCATGAAGATTCTTGCGCTTTCTCTGAAGAAAGGAGTGCATATGCTGCAGTGCCTCTGTGGAAGGAGCCTGAGGTCCAGCGACAGCCCGAGCGGTGAGCCGACGTCCCCTCCCCGGGCGGGCTGCCCACCGCGGGAGCCCTGCGCCCAGAGGGCCCGCGACTTCCGAGCGCGCGCGTGTGTGCGCGCGTGTGCGCGCGTGTGTGTGAGTGTGTGTAGCCCTCGAGTCACCCGCGCTGTCGCCCCGCACCCGAGACCGAGCCTGCGGGTCCGGGACGGGACGCGGGGAGCGGGAGGGACCGGCTCCCACACTTCCTCGCGCCTCAGCGGCTCCTTGTGACTTGCGAGGGCGGCCTGGGACTCACGGTTGTCCAGGGTCTCCTCGGAGAACTTGCTGGTGCATTCGGCTGCAGAGGGGACTTTAAACAGGTGGCTGGCAGACAGGTATCTTATTTTTCTTGCTTTGCCTGCAAGTGGACTTTTGGCGGTGGTTAGGTGGGTTACCTTTTCGGGGGCGATGGAGCGATTTCTGTCCTTGGTGCTGAAGCAGGAGGCGCCCAAGTAGCCTGGGACTTAGCCAATCTGCTCCCTTAAAGGAAAGCAAAGAAAAACCGATCTTTTGAGTAACCTGTGATGTTGAGAGAAATCGTTGAAACACTTAATGACTTTGTAAAAAAGCAAACTAGAGCCAAATAAGCCATTCTGTTCTGCAGAAGCCTTGCAAGACAGTGTGGCGCTTCGTGGCATTCTCTTCCTTTGTCTGATTCTTTCAAAAGATGAAAGTTCCCTTTAAATCAATCATCTATTAATCTTGCAAGCGCTAATTCAGTTTCTGCGCTCTTTGGTTGCTTTCTCAAGAGTGGAGGTGGGGTGTGAGAAGACAGGAAAGGCACCGAATTGTGCTTAAACGAGTGTCTCTGCAAAGAATGTATTTTTGATCTACAAACCCCAAATAACTAACAAATTCAACAACATTATAATAGCTTTTGTGTTTGAAACTTTGTGTGCTATTTCGGGGGATCTGATTCATTTGGTAATGGCACCTATTTTCACTCTGTTCTAGAGCTATGAAAATTATATTTGAGAAGATATATATATCTTTGGAGACATATATATATATATATATATATATATATATATATATATATATTCATTCATTCATCCTTTCTCAAACTTGGACTCACCAGTCAAAATATAAAACTAGAAGCTAGTTTTCAAGAAACTGGAAAATTTAACTTCGTGATATTTGTGGACATGCTTGTGAAATGAAATTGGTCATGTGATCTCATGTTTTACTTCCATGTCATCCCGAAGGTTAGCTAGACTTTCTTTTCGTTTTGTTAGTGTACCTGTGAGTTGCTGAAAGATCTCGCTACATTTTTTTCAACTAAAAAGCTTTCAGTAAAGACTTGCATCTTAATGGTATGTGACCCAGGAAACCTCTGGAGATGCATGCAAATACTGTTTCAGTTCTCCCGGTTCACATTAAATAGAATGTAAATAGACTGTATTGAAGGCATTCGCACCCTAGGTGTGAAATTTTAAGGCATGTGTGGTGTATAACTGAGCAAGGCACTTCCTCAGATAAAGCGAGGTAAAATCTTCAGATAACAAGCAGAGTTCGTTTCCCAAATAGTAACAGCTGCAAATGGAAAGGGTGATCCGTGTGACTGGGTAGCGTGGGCTGCTGCAGGCACGGGGCTTACGAGTCAAGAGATCCAGTTATGAGGCAATTTCCATAAGTCACTCTACTTTTAAAAAGTCTTGACTTTCATCTGAAAAAAATTAAAAGTGGAAATGCTGTTAGCTCTTGCCTGGTTCCTCTGTTTGTGACTTCACCTGATTTTAACCTGCGGTTCTTTAAGAAGGTGGTGTCTTATTTATACATGTAATTTTACTTAGTGAGGTAAATATTTTATTTGGGGGACCGAGCACTCTAGAAAAATTTTTGTAAAAGGCTACAGGACCAAACAGGGAAGATAAAACCTCTACCTGAGCCTTTCCCAAACAGAGTAATATGTAGTTACTTGCCAAGAGAGAGTGTTTCTAGAATGACAAGGTCTTTATTTAAATTATGACTCGATAGAGCTTATGATTGTATGCAACTAACATAGCCTGGCTGTTTGTCAATTTGTGTGCAAATCTAAATTACCACAATCATATTGCACACATCGTGGGTGGAATAACATGATTTACTTGAACTCTTGTATATCAGGTACCTCTCATGTACAATATGCTTTGCATGTTTATACATTGTCAGTGTGTTTGTTCTGTTTTAAATTGGTATCATTACTGTGGCTTCTGCCATTAGCACAACCTCATAGCAATTCTGCAGGTAATAGTGGTGTGCCCAGTGTTCTCATGCAAATTGGAGTAAAGAAACTGGAAATTTTTCATGAAGTGAATTTATAAGAACCAGGCTGTGAAAGCACTGTAAGTTTTTAAATTTTGCTGAAAGGAATTCAGTAGCATTTTTAAACAATGTCAGTATGCATTTACAGTTGCGTTCTAGCTATTTCCTCATGGCAGTTGAATTGATCACATAATTGGGCATGGGATGCGATTTGCTACAGTAGATTAAGAGATTCAACTAACATATTCAAGCTTTGAAATTGTAAATGTTACACTTTTTTGTTTATATTTTGTCAACCAAATGGGCCTAAAATTAAAATTAACCATTGGTTTTGAGCTTTTCAGGGACATTTATCACTCTTCCTTTCCTTTGTATTATTGGGCATTAATATCATGTCTAGTTTAGTAAGTCTACCACTGTATAAGTCCTTTGTACTTTAGAAGGACAGAGATGATGGGAACACATGGAAGGCAGTCTTAATACATGGTGAAGTCAGTTGCTCAAGGCTAAATTCCCAGCCACTTTCATTACTTGGGTTTTGTTCTTTTTCTCATTTAAGCGATTTTTTTTTTAAAAGCATATGGAGCCAGTCTATTAAAAGGTCGATTAGAAGCTTAAAAGTCTAAACATCTCTGTTCAGAGAATGTGACATTTCTATGAGATTGATGAGTTGAAAAGGCTTTTAAAGAGAGAGTGACACAAAGAGGTGGGGCTTTTATAAAGAAACAGGCACTGAAGGGTGGTGATCCAAACGATGGCTTTCATACCTGCTTGCGTTCCTCTGCAGATGAGTGGGGAAAAGCCTTGGAGTCCCACCAATGAGTTTAGGGCTACAGGCTTCTCCCTGCATCAGGGTCCACTCTGATTTTGTAGAGGAGCCAATTCTGTCCTAACACCCAGGGCTCCGCTGGGAGTTGGTCCCCAGAGGAGGAGTAGGGTAAGTGTATGGGTAGGTGTGTATGCATGTGCTTGCTTGCTTTAGCTGTTACTGAATTATTCTAGAAAAGCCACATGGAAGTGATGGCTGTGACTCTTCTGCTGTAAGCAGTAAGGGAGGGGCTTCCCAGCCTGGCAGAGTGAAGGGCTATCAGATGTCTAGAGCTGGAGCCCTACAAGAACGTCTAGTTTCCTTGACACGGAATTCCAGTACCCTGGGCAAGCATAACTCATCTATTGAGCCTGACAAAGGCACATACTTTAGAACTCACAGTGCCACTGTTTTCAAAATATCATGCAGACATCCAAATGAAAATTGCCCACTAATAGACAAGGTATCTCAGACACTGTGCATCAGGTTTGGGTATCTAGACTCTGATTTTTCTATAGGGCAGTGAAATGATTCAAGGAAGGATATTTATTTACCGTGTAGTTATTGTTCATAAGCTGATTTCCTAGCAAGATAGTGTCATTCAAAACATTAGCTGTTGTGTGTTTGTGTGTGTTATGATATATGTTTATGTGTCTGTGGGCATGCTTTTGTGTGTATGAGTGCAGGCATTCCTATGCCATGGCCTTCATGTGAAGGTCAGAAGATATCCTCGTGTCCAGCCTTGCTTTCCTTCCCTCTTGTTTTAGATGGAGTCGCTTTGTTGTTTTTTCCATTGTGTGTAGCAGACTAGCTGGCCCGTGAACGTCCAGGGGATTCTCTTGTGCCAGCTTCCTATCTCTCCATAGGGGCACTAAGAGCACAGATACTCACGTTGCATCCCGTGTTTACATGGCTTCTAGAGATTCAAACTCAGACTCTCAGGTTTACACAGTCAATACTTTCAGCCACTGAGCCTTCTTCCCAGCGTCAACATTAGGGGACCATTGAAAATGCTGCTTTCTAAGCCCCTGGTTTTTCCTTCAAAGGTAAAAGTGGCTGATGTCAACCATGGGGACAAATGGAAATAACATATTTTGTACTTGAGAATATTTTGAATTCAACTTAATCTTTAGAAAATTACCAAGAAATCCAATGTGCTGACAGGATAGCCCAGTGGTAGAATGGTTACCCTTGTTTGTTTGAGGTCCTGGATTTGATGTCCAGTAAAACACACACACACACACACACACACACACATACACACACACACACGCGCACGCGCAAAAAACATCTAACAAATTTAAAAAAAAATGAATGTCAAAATCTACCTTTTGAGGACAGTTGTTTATAGTTTCTTATGGCATTTACTTTTCAATTTTTACGTTTCACATTAGGTTTTCAAAGTCAGTGCCAGAAAACTCAAGAAGATGTTGCTTTTTATGGGTTAACTTGTTTTAGATAGTCCATTGTCTACTGGGTATCAATGTAGTATTGTTAGGAGCCTTATGTCATTTTCTAGAGTCGTTGTGGATTTGTAACAAAATTGGAAGGAAGCTAAAGAGGTGTCTTATGAACTCCAGCGCTCACAAGTGCCTGGTCTCTTCTGCTCACACTGCCTCTCATCAGAGTGACTCGTCTGTTGCAATACATGAAGTTGACCTGGCACTGTGTATTTTCTGTTGGGTGTATACATTTCGTAGGTTTGGGTAATGACATATCTCTACCATTATAGTGTCACTCAGAGAGTTTTACTGCCCCCAAAATCTGTTCCCTAACTACCCACCTTCCTTAACTGCTAAAAGCCACTGGATTAAAAAAAAAACTATCTTCATAGTTTTACCTTGATTAGAATATCA